GAAAAAAATTATCCTGAAATTAGGTTGCGTGAAACTTATTCCGCCATTCTTGATTAGTTACTTTCAGGCTTATAGTAAATCCGATGTTCTGATAGTACATCAAAAACTGGCAGAACTCAGGAAGAAATGGATGGAGAAGCTACAAAGCAAGGAAACTACGAAGGTTCAGTCTCTACAAAGGGTACCAAGCCGAGTTAGTTCCATTTGACAGGATTTTGAAGAAAAACTTTTAAAAATGTTTTGCACACTCTTACGAACATCTGCCTTTTGTCGTCCGAATATAAGTTTGCTGTTCTCCTAATTCGCCCGCAAGACATTTTCGACAGTGGTGATCAGAATTTTCTCCAGACTTTTGAGACATTTTAAAAAAATTATTTCCATGAAGTTCACGTTTTGAGCATAAGCCTTTCTTTTTCCAGATGCAACCGGAAACGTTTCCTCACGAAGATGGTCCCACAGTGCTTCCCATTCCATGAAGTCAACAAAAACGCAAACCTGAGCGAGTTCATGTATCAAGCTGACATGGTGCTCACTCTGTAAGGTCATTTATATTGACTCAAAGAAAATCAGTTCACATTTTTCCATTTCTTATAATCCAACCGATGCTTTTGGATGCTTTCGAACCAAAATGTTGCCCATAAGAGTAAAAGTTTACTCCCAAGGAAAAAAGAAGTCAAATCAGAAAGTCAAAAGAGTTAGATCAAGGTAAAAGTATTGGTGAGCGGGTGTTATTCACTATTACTCATACTGAAACTGATACTCCCCCTCCTCTCTGCCTGAAAATCAGATGCGCGTCGAGTGCAGACCACCAACCACAAGCGACGACGGCCTGCAAGGTAACCTGGTGATTCATTGTGATAGCTGTAGTTGGTGATGAAGAGGATAATAGTAACAACTGAAAGAACACAACTGCAGAACCATTTCATGGGTAGAAAATGTTTATATATTGTGAAGACCGTCATCACTTGTGGTGTGTGGGCGCCGTTTCTTACTTCAAACTTGATGGAGCAGTGTTTTTTTTTCTGGATGTGGTTTCTGCTATATTGCAGAATCCAAGCTGAGCAAATTGGTAACAACAGCGAAGATGATCGTACGAAGCGTCAGGCCTACCGCGACATTTTCTACCCAAACACAATTTGGGGAAGAACAGTATACTACTACTTTGATCCCACTGCAGTGAGTCCATGCATTCTGCGCGTTTATTGAGTTTTTTATGCGGCCACTCTGTCGCTTCTGTCACTTCCGTCACCGCCTTGAGTAATCCCCGCAATGATTGCGCGTGTGCGCCGACAATAAGTCAGAGACCAAGTGGCAGAGTGAACGCAAAACGCCACGCCCAATACTGTGGCGATTAGGCTTCATGTTCAAGACAAGGCATTGCAGTACATCTCACACCATTCACTCCACGACATGGGCTCAAAAATACTACTCTACTTACATGTATAAAAATCACTCCGCAAAAAGCGAAATCCAAATAAGACCTCTGGTTAGTCTCGCTGAAAAGTTAACATAAGCATCAAAATTTGAAATGTCATAAAAAACAAGTTTCTGCGCGAAGAAAGGCTAGAAGCTTAACAAAAAGAAGCAGTCGGGGTAAATGACTTTGGGGGATGTACTAGTACAGAGAAAACAAGCTTAAGCGGTGTGACTAATCATAACAGATCCCATTTTTGAGCCCACGCCGTGCAGTGAAGGGTGTGGGACGTACTTCAACGCGTTATATTGAACTTGACGCCTAACCGCTACAGTATGCAGTGCGCCTCCTCTGTCGCGCCTGCGTCTCTGACTTCGTCGCGCGACGGGCCTCCTGCGTGGTACCCACACTTTTTCCATGATTATGGGTGCAGTATTCCTACGTCATTGATACAGAGTTCAATATGTGTGACATAACGTCAACGGCAAAGGAAGGTACAATAAGTTGAACCTGGTTGTGAACCAATTTTAATTTATTTATACACCACAATCATAGCTAATCTTGCCTCCCCGCTATCGCCGCTATCACAAGGTAGGGACTCATGGTGACAAATCATTCTAGTCGTGGTCGCAGAAAAGAACCGACCCCCCCCCTCCCAAATCGAGATCCGGCACGAACCCCCAATCGTCGCCAAAACACAAATTAACTTCAATTAATAATCATCAAAAAAAAACCCTGCAAAAAAATCAAAAAAATTCTGCAAAGTAATGTTATGGACGCTTCATCTTGTCATCTATGCACTGTCTTTTTTCATCGCTGCACACTTTTGTGTATTTACTGAAATATCGACTCGAGGAAAGAGGCATTAACTTTGTGTGACCTCAAAGTCAGGTTCGTTCAGAAATGCACAGAAATCCTGAAGGCACGGGGTTGCGATTTAATCTTAATTCCTGCTTGAGTATATCGAAACAGCCGAGTGTATCAATCAACGGCCGATTCAACGGCAGCTGCGGCGCGATTGTCACTGGGTCAGATTTGCTGAAATCCCGAAAAAAAAAACCGTCGAAATCTACACCCTCGATGAAAAGGTTGCATTCCTCCATTTCATAACCTTTGAAGCAGTTTGAGGTAGGGTTAGATAGAGCTGGATTTCGCGTTTCCAAGAAGTATTGAAATTGCTCTGAAAGCCTTCCATGCAGAAAGATAGGGTCTCTCAAATTTCGTCGAGTAAACGTCGAGGACGCTGAAATTTTTCACGCGAGTTTTTGCCACTTCAAGAGCAATATCTCTCTTAAAACGTGAGATCCTGAAAAAGTGAAGATAGTTTTGGAAAGCGGAAGGTTTGCGCTTTCTGATGGTCTTCTTAGCTTTCTTCTACATTTCCTAGTTGAGAAGATATCTGCGTCGAGTATGTATCGAGGACGGATCCAGCCACCTGAAAATCCGCTCCCTTCTTCACCATTGCAAGTGTAATTGTTGGCAACGCTTGAAATGGGTCTAGAAAACATCCTCCCAACATAAGCAATAGGAAAAGGGGCAATCGTCATCATCGAATTTTGTCTGAGTATAGGCCATGCATCCGACCTCACTCGAAGTTGCAGAATCGATTCGAAGGTGTCATATGATCTTCATAATGACCAGTTGACAGAAGCTGCATTGTATATAAAAAAACGGCACCTTCGTACTCCTACATATCCTTGAAGACCAAATTCATTTGCCCAGGTGCCGAATTTCCTTCAGCAGTTGCTGTGTGCGAGCAGGGTTCCCTACACTACAGTCGCATTTCTCACGAGCGAGGTGTAAGGGAAAGGTACGAACGTTATTAGAGGAGGTGCCTTTGCAGCGCGTGCGCACATGTGGCACTCTTCTTTGCGGGGATGCACTTTCATTCTTTGTACTGCCTTCAAATACGCCCTTCTCATGAAGGTGGAGGAATGGAGCGACTGAACCTGCAAAAAGAAAATTTAATATCATGTTTTTTTCAGATATTTTCATTTTCTGCTGCGCTATACCCTCTTACCTATCTGCACCACGATACCACTGCTGTTACTGACCCCTCAAGAGTACGACCCCCCATGACCCAGCCCGACAGGTACGACCCCCCTGTCGAGGATTTCCTCGACCCGATATTCACCCTGGTAGGGGACCCCCAAAAGCGGAAATAGAATAAAATGATGCTACCCCAATTACACCCCTTAAACCTAAATCTTATTATTCGATGTTGTTATATCCCTATCTTATTACCCGTCATCCTCCTTATCGCAAAGCGGCTTAATTGTCATCAAATTGATATCTCCCTCCCTTTATCATGTGCCCCTTCTCACCCTTCCTCCCCCTCCCCTTCTGCTTTTCCCCTACCCTCTACCTCCAACGACTCCCGCTGCCCCCGCAGCACCATGTACAGTCGATATCTCGAAGTCTGATTGGCGTTTCCACTGGAGAATTACGTGCAGCCCACCCATTGGCACTTGAATTAATACCCCGTGTCTCCAGAATACGATATCAGTCAAGCGTGTTGGAAGCAGCTTATCTGCGCAACTTCTATCAAGTGCGGTGTCTGCCACGTCATTTCCGGTGACACGCCTGATCAGACTTCGAGATATCGACTGTAGAATGAGGCTGAGTGCGCTCGTTTGGTGTTTTTGTAGCCGCGAAATGTGGGTGTTATCATACACCTACGAAAATTTCGTTAGAATAGTACTCAACCATGAATATATACCTTTCTCTTGAAGAACGTCGTCTCTCTAATCATCCCTGACTCCCCACCTCCCCTCCCTTCCTCGCTTCTTCCCTGACACATGTGTAAATCGCCAGTTCTCCCTGCACATTCTCCTCTCGCGAAACTCCCCCCTCCCTCCTTTCCCCTCTTCTTCCCACTCAACTTGCACACTATCCCTTGAAAAAAAAGACCCATAAGGGCGTTTTGAAAATTGTCGCCTTTTAGTAATTAAAATTTTGTCGAAATAACTGAAATAGCTCTCCTGACAATGAAGACACCGCCTATACTTCTCACCCTCCTAGCCCTTTCTCTTCTCCCTCTAATAGACTTCCTCTCCCCCTTCCACCCTCGGCCTCATCCGGCTGGTCCACGGCTATCACCAATGAGCATGAGTGTGGCCGTCGGTGTTTATGTACCGCTGTGGGCGTCAGGATTCGGTCTTGATCATCGGACCCCGTTGGCCCTTTTCGACACCGTTGACCAACATCGCCCATTCCAACCCATCCACTCGTGTTATTTAATTTTGGTGAATCTTCCCGATACCTACCAACAGCATCGAACCCACAAACTAAACATCGCGCCCCCACTTTTCTTGCTCCCAAAATACTCGGCTCTGCCGAGCGAGTGCGCGGCGTATATAAACTACTTCCATTTTACGGAGACAGCTATTGAGATTTAAGGTCGGGGTGCATTTTTACGCCTGTGTACTGGGGCCAATTTGCTCGTTGATCCGAACGGTACAGAATTCTCGAAAATTTCCTATGATTTCCTCTATTTCCACCATTTCACCCCTGCTTTTACCCTATTTTACCTACCTTCCCACACCCACACTTTACCCAGGTACGTAACCTCCCTTGTTACTAGTACAACGTAGTTTACCGGTGGTGTCTAACATGATCACTGACATCGAAATAAAAGGGTGGCGGGGGGGGGGGGGGGGGGGGGGGGGTGGCCGGCGGAGGGGTGTGAAGTGCTTGCCCCTTCGGTGCTCAGTAATTTTTTTAGCTGTCGTCCGAAAACACACCACGATCAGAAACGACACACACATCCGAAAAACCTGTGACCCACCAAAGTTCCCGGACGGTATGCTCAATCGTGCCTTGCGGTAGCAAACCTTCATTAATTCATACGAAGTTACGAGATTAGCTCAGACCAAAGTCAGTTTAGATAACAGGTTCAGAGCGCTTCTCAACACATTAAGTCTTGTTTAACCTACAGTTAGATCATAACCAAAAAAACCATTTTAATTAGTAGTTAGAGAGTTAACTTGTAAACCTAATTCGTAATTAGGCAGAGAAAAGAAATAGTGTGAGGTCGAGGAGGCGCAGACGCCACGTTGACCCACGAGTAAAAAGTACTCCGAAGGACTTTTTACTGGAGGGTCATACGTGTCAGACGTGGTGACTGCGCCTCTTCAATCCCGTGCTCTTTTTTCTTCTCTGACCAGCTCAACCTGTTAGGAATCAAAGAATGCAGCTGCGATCCATAATCTTCAGGTACTTTTGCAACCTTTTTTTTCTTATTTATTCGTTTCCTGATATTTTGTCGTCTGAAATCTAAAGTAGGAAGCTCTTGCTTGATCTGGGCTGGATCGCACTCTCCATTCTTTATTCTTTGCTTAGAATCTCCGATCGTTACTTCTGATTGCGAGTTAAGGGCGGTAGTCTGATTGCGAGTTAAGGGTACTTTGCTGCCGTCCCTGGTTTATATAATGAAGTGATTATCTAGTTTTTTTTGTTTGAATCTACCCGACCAGCTTCAAGGATACCTTACAGGAGACTCGTCTCGCGGTGAGGAAGGCAGCTACGCATACGATGCGCGGTCAGCAGAAGAGTGGCAGCGCGTATTGTGTAATGTGACACGTACTGCAGTACAATCTATTAAACTTGACTCTGAATAGCTACACAACGCGCTGCGACTGACGCTGACCCGTCTGCTTGTTTGCCTTTTTGGCGAACAGCGGGCCTCCTGTCCGCGATCCGATTTCGATACAGGGCTTCGGTTACCTTTCACAGCATGCATGCCGTTGTCTTCAAAACC